AATGCCGTCGTGCCGCGGGTGGCTCTACCAGGGAAGTTCAATGAGGAATGTCCATTATACATATAGGGGGCCACATGCGAACCCTACCCCTGCCCCCCCGCGATTTCTGAGGGGGGGATGGGGGTCGCTTCGCTCGGGAGCTCCTGAGCGAAGTAAACCTCGCCCTCCCCTTCAGAAATCGTGGGGGTAGGGGTAGGGTTCGCACGTGGCCCCCTAATATATACTTATATGTATATATACATATATATATACATATACATAGATCATGGACCGGCGTATTCGCTTTGCAGCTGGTCAAGATGTCAGCCAGCGTTGGCTCCAAATAGATTGGAGATTCACATCAAGGAGTCAGACGAATCAAGCATGCTCGAATTCCGCAACTCAGCAGGCAAGCAAGCAAGCAAGCGTGCAAGCGCGCAAGCGCGCAAGCAAGCAAGCAGGCATAGGCATAGGCGTAGACATCGTAGTTTTAGTGGGAGGCATAGGCATAGGCATAGCCATGGGATTTTTTTTTGGGGGGGGGGGCATCGGAATATCAGCCAGCGTTGACTTCGCATAGATTGGACGGTTCAAATCCAGGAACCAGAGGAATCAAGCATGCTTGGGCTCCGCAACTCAGCAAGCAAGCAAGCGTGCACGCAAGTGCGCAAGCAAGCAAGCAAGCAAGCAAGCAAACAAGCGTGCAAACGAGCAAGCGCGCAAGCAAGCAAGCAAGCAGGCAGTCATAAGCATAGGCGTCGGCATAGGCATAGGAGTCAGGGGGGGGGGGGGGGGGGGGGGGGCGCAGGCATTGGCATAGGCATAGCCATGGGAATTAAAGGGGGGGGGGGCATGGGAAGTGTGTGTGTGTGTGTGTGTGGGGGGGGGGGGGCGGACCAATTAGTGGGGTTTGAGCTGGGATTCTTATAGGGCAAGCCCATGTGGAGAAAACCCTTGACAAGACCATGACCTCGGTGCTGGGCGCGTATCACTACGCGTGGTGACAGCGTGGCCCGTCCAAGATCCTATACTCAGACGGAGAGGGTGCTCTTGGCAAAGACACAGCTCGAGACATTTTTAAGCATGAGGGCGCCGAGCTTAGGATCCGAGCGCGAGGACAACGCGCTACGACAACGCAATCCAGGCATATCCCATGACGCACCATGCATTTGACGGAGGAAGATTTGAAACGGCATAATATACCATTCAATTTCCCCCGTCTTTTGCATGAAGCGATGTTCGTGACTGGCGCTTTTACGTTGTGCAATGGAGTATGTCCAGGCCAAGCGTGATGCGGGCGCCAGCCGGAGTGCCTGACCGATTTGCCAGCGTTGGACCACGAACAACAGACGGAAACGTTTGATCATTCACGAGAACAGCGGGTGCGCGAGATCAGCCTGGAAACCATTACACAAGCTACTGCAGTTGCTAAGGCTATCGGAGCACTGCGTACCAAAACAGCACCACCAGGCCGGACATTCTATCGCCATGGTGATCTGGTTGAATTCCACCGACCCACCACAACTAAGGACGACTCGGGAGGTTGGAACAGTCCATGCCCAGTTGCGCGCAACGACCCTGGAAGGGGTCAAGCCATAGTGCGGGTCGGTTGCCGCGGAGTCGCTGTTCAACGCCTTGACTTAAGGCGCGCGCTGTACATCGAAGTGCTTATGGTCTGAGAGCCCGGCCCAGGTAACAGAGCACTCCGACTTGTATTTACCTTTATCGCGAGTCTGCCTGCGTGGAGATCTGCGATGACATTTGGATAATTTGGATAGTTACATGCTGACCATGCAAGGAGACTGGCGCATGACCACTGCCAGTAAGTTATCACCTAAGGTGCATCTAGCATTGCAATACCTGATCCGAAACTCCCTCAGGATCGAGAACGTGGTCGCAGTCTGACGTGCCGGGGGTGTCCATCGGTTACCAGTTGTCACTTACGCTGACAGCTGTATCCTCGTTCACTATGACAGCGATCTCACATCGGGTTCCGCTGCTGCGAGTCGGGCGGCGCAGCCCTCGACGTTCGCGCATTCACGGGGTGTGCGCATGCAAGGATAATGCGGCGTGTGAAATCGTCTGAACCTCTTCCCGGCTTCGATGGGGACCTCTCGAAGTTCGGGGGGCGCGCGGGGCGCCCCGCTCCGAGCGGTGGCGCTCGACCAGCGGGGGCGCCCGAGAGCGAGATGCCCCTTCCTGCAGGGCGCCCCCTCCCTTGCGGTCCAAGCAGCATAAGAAGCTGTCCTCGAGGCTTGCGCCCTTGAAGCTTGGTGAATCGAACTACGAGATGAGCGCGAGCTTATCGGGGCTGCGCCGCTGGGACCACCTTGCATTGTTCCTATCATAATGTTATCGGACCAGACGGTCTTGACCACCGTGGCCAACGACGACCCAGGTACTCGACATCGCGGAGACACGCACTATTACAACACAGATGTGTATCACGTCTCCGCGACTACACACTATGGCGATGATTGTGCTCTTTGCCAGTGGCCAATGTGGCCAGTGCATTGAGTTGCCATTTATAGCTGACATGGCAGAGGTCGTACTCACGGAACAGCAGTATCGCCGAGACAACTACATATTGATAACATAACGACTTTGCGGATATACGTTTCCGCAGTTGCGAAACGAGTTTTGGTGGTAAAGGAGGGCGACCTTCGCCAGGGCGGGAATTGTCGCCAATCCAGTGCAGGTGGGTAAAGCACTTTACACTCAGCTAAACATGTGGCCTGACAACCCATTCTTCCAGATGGCAACTCTTGCAGACGCCTCGAGCGCCATGTCCTCGCGTCGCGTATATGAATGGAAATTCGTCAAGAAAAACTCTTGCCCTGCGAGGATTCATGGACGTAGAAGCTTTCGATGTGGAGACCTTCTCGGGAACGGCCAGAAGGTCAAACCAGCGCTTGTTGGCAAGTGAAGGAGCGTGCGACCCTGACTGCATCATCGCGGATGCAGGCAAGGGGTTCCTAACGGGAGGGTCTTGCCTACCGTGAGCTTTCTGAAGCCGCTTCAGAGCGGGGTTGCGTCGCGTGCTTTGCGCTGCCACCTTGCTCAGCAGCCGTGTCCTGGCCTCGAGAAAAGCAGCGAGAACCGGCGCCTCCTGCAGTGTTTGAAACCGTGCGCTGGGACGAAGGACGCTCTGCGCGCCTTCTCCCTGAAGCGTCGCAACGTTGCGCGCGGCTTCGGCCTGCGAGCCGCGTCTGATGACGAGGCGCTACTGGCGGCCAAACACGTAGACGACATCGAGGTGGCTGGAGAAGGAGGAAACCATAGATCGCTACGTGAAATTTGTCGAAACCGTTTCCGGCGCATGTGAATTTCACGAACATATCTGCGCTTATTGCGTCGCGCCGTCGGGTTCACGTAGCATGAAGACGGAGACGCTGCCCTGGATCAGGACGACTGCATCGAACAATTTCGCCCTATTCAACATCCAGACCCCGCGGGTGTAGAGGCCAAGGACAAGGCGGCGAAGCCTGTCGCAGACATGCTCGTTAACCTCCGCGGAGCAGTAGCGTGTGCGCTTACGCCCCAAGTCTGGCAGATGGTGCGCGATGCTTCCTTAAAGCGGGTTCAAGAACCCATTGATATCCTGGTGCGGCGGCTTAGCGCGAGTGCGTGTATGCTTCGGAATCTGCTTCGTAAGATGATCTATCTTACCATGGAGCTCGCCAGTGAAGTCGATCTACATAGCGACTCCGGCTACCTAAGGTTGACCGGGGACGCTGAGGATGAGGCGAAAGGATATGGCATCCGAGGTGCCAATTTACTCCGGCGCAGACTCGTGCAATGGCAAATCCGTCGTGCACCTGATAGATGCCTACTGCAAGTCACACAGACTGTAGGTAAGACCAGGTAAGGTCAAGCTATTCTGCGGCAGCGCTCGCAGCAGCCCGCGACCTAGAGGACTGCTGCCCGGCCATCGTGCCTCGCGCGAGTTAAAGGCGGGGTCGCTCACGCCTGCGAAATATGCTTGAGATGGGCGGTCTGTGTATCAAAGTTCCCGTTGCTATTGATGCTGAGTCGGTGTTCAAATCGCCACCAGTAAGGACCTTACAAAGCCTACGGAATGTGCGCTACCAGGACATATCAGCTGGATAAGACAGATGATGGACAGACACATCGCGCACAACATACAAAGGTGTGACGCACGGGATCTGACTGCTGATGGACATGCCAAAGGCAGCATTTAACGAGATTTGTTATTGCAGGTAATGGCGGGCACGCAATCCTGTAAACATGAGTTGAAGACTTGCACTCCTTACAGGGCTCCGACCTCGAAGGTTGACCCCGGCTCATGACGAGCCCGCGGAATGCTTCTAGTATGCGTGGGCACGCGCTGTGAGACAAAGCCTCGTTCTGCGTCTGGTAGTCTCTGTCCTGTAACCTTCTACTCTTTAGCGCTGCTTGCGCCTTTGGGTCCTCTTATCTTGGACCCCGCAGGGCTGCCGCTGGCGCTTGGCCAGGCCAGCCCCTGTCGCCACTTTTCGGCTTGGCCAGGTGGGCCCCCGCCACCTCCTCGCAGGTCCAGCCTGGCGTTGGCCGGCTGGTTTCGGCTCGTGGCGACACGAGTCTTAGCGCACTTTCTGTGAAAATGTGGCCTGACCTTGATGCTCGCTTTGCTCGCCTCCTCCCCCGTCGACTCTGAGGTCGGTGTTCAGAGGATACTCCAGATTTCGTAATAAAGGGAGGGGGGTCTCATTTCGGGGGGGGGTCTCTTCCAGGCTATCTTGGAGGGCCTGGGGGGGTCTGGGGACGACGTGTTGGAGGGTTCTCCCACGGGGGAGGTCTGAAATGGCTTGTCTTGGAGGGTCCAGACACCCTCCCTTTTATTACGAAATCTGGAGTATTTGACCACGCCCCTGGCAGAAGCCCCATCTTACATCTATTTCCAAACCTCGTACTAGATGGTCCTCATCCTGTTTTTCAGTGGGGTCCATGAGAAGAGTAGAGAAACCCTGCCAGGCAACACTTGGAATTCCAGCGCGCCTCAAACGTGCCTGGGGGCACAGTGGCGGATAGCAAATGCGGAAAACCTCAGCGGTAACGAGGATACGGTCGAGATTGTGAGGGACCATTTTTCGAGCTTGCCGATGGCAATACTGACGCTGATCCGTGTCCGCTTCCGCGCACATATCCGCCACCTCGCCTGTGGCAGCATCGCTTGGTACGGCCTTGTCTTCGCGGCTGCAGCTTGGCGCTGCAGGTTGGCACGGCGCAGGACTGCCTCTTCGGCGCTTCTGCGGGGCGCCAGGACCAGTTCTGGGGCCCTTCGGGGGCTCAGCTCGAGCCCCTTGGGGGCCTCTGGGGGGTGCATCTTTTTTGGAGGTCTTGAGGCCCCTGGTGGGGCGCCTCCCGCGGCCGCCGTCCTGAGCGGTCTTGGGGCTGTCTTGCAGAGCCTCGGGCCCGCCTTGGGCCACCCTCGGGCTTCCTGGGCGCCGAGGGGCTCGTCTGGGGCTGCCTGGTGGCCGCCCGGGGCCCCCGTCGGGCCCTGGCATCCCGGGGGCCGCAGAAACGCCATCCTGCTGGGTAGTCGAAGGCCAGACTGTTGGATTGGATTGGGCTCCAAGGGCCAATCTGGCCCGGCCAAACTGGATGCTTTGGGTTATTCGCCAGACTGGATTCGCGTTGGCTCCCTCGCCAGATTGCCCCCGTTTGCCAGATTGGGCCTGCCAGATTGGCGCCAGATTGGCTTCGACTACCTAGGATGCGCGGAGAGGCCGGCCTAGAGCTCCGCGGAAGCACCCTGGGGACCTTCCGGGACGCAGGGTTCACAGTCCGTGACGTTTTCCCCAACGCGAGTTCTCATCGTGGCGATGCGACGCCGGCCCCGCCGCGGGCGCTCAGGGTTTTGATGCCGCCAGTGGCCCAGCATCGACCAACATGGAACGATCCGTCGATCGAGAAGTCGCCGACGGTTCAAGTTTGAACGATCCGCGCGGGGTCAGAGACCAACGCGTGCCACTGTCGGCGCGACGCGAAGCCGCCGTGATGTGGGGGCCCGCGCGCTCACGGCTCACGGCACACCACATCCGTGCGGGGATGTCAGGCGCCAGGGCGAGCGGCGAGCGCCCGCGCGTGCGCGGGCCGAGCGCGATCGGATCCAGGACGTGCCCCTTCTCCTGCAGGCGCGCGTCCCCAAGGTGGTCGGATCCGAGGCGTGCACGATGCTACGAGCGCGGGCGTCTGCATGGATGCACGACTCGGTGTACGTGCGTGTTCCTCTGTAGAGAAGGGTGGGTGGGCTCCGAGAAGGGGAAGCGGGGAGGTGACCAAGTGGGGCGCTCCAGAGCACTCACGGCGGGACGATGGTGAGACGACGACGATGACGAGCAGCGGACCAAGCCAGCTCGTCCCTCGGTCAGCACAGCGTAGCACAGCGTGATCACTTGGAATGCGCAAGCGTGGAGCCTGGGATGCTGGCGGGCTGGACAGTCAGGTGAGAAGGGCTACTAGTTATGAGTGGGGTCGGCCAGACGGGGAAGAGAAGCGGCAGGCATCCTCTGAGGTCTTGAGGGGGCGGGAGGGGAGAAGCGGGAGTCGCCGCGCAGGAGCAGAGCCACGAGCGCGCCTCGTTTCCGCATGTCAGTCGTGTCTCGAGGGTTGCTGCAGTCGGTGTGATTTCACCACTTCGGCCCCCCCGCAGCAACGCACAAGTGCTCCACACTCCCTCGCCGGAACAAGTTTGATCAGCGCGATTCCTCAGGCAGTCGCACCACGTGCCTCTGTTCCGAGAGGGCAGGGGACTAGGATGGTGCCCGTGTCGACCTGGGCGCCGAGCAGGCTGGCATTTGCAGAACGCCTCGCCCACGGCCGGTTTTAGGCTGCACGCAAATGTGGCCCTTCGCCAGAGTGACCTTTGGTTCGCGGCTGTCGCATGGCGCGAGGGTGTCCAAGTGCAATCACGCCGGCCGCCGCTGTCGCATCGTATGCACCAATCGGCAAGCCGCGCATCAAAGGCCCCTCTTGCCCAGGGTCACTTCTGCGCGTAGCCAGCGATCCACGTAGCACAGGGAGATGGAAAATTGGGCGCGCGCATGAGGCGGAGAGAGACGTGCAACAGTGCACCTAAGCGCGCAAGGGCAGGCTCAGAGGGACTCGACGGACGAGGGGGAACCAGAGGCGCGATGGGCTTCTGCGCCGAAAGGAACGCGATTCGCTTTTCCGTGCCAACTTGGCCGCGGCGGGATTGCAGAGCGACTGCGCGCTTCAGGGAGCGAGTTGCGCGGCATCTTCGCTGCTTCCACTCGACTGGCAGTCGGAAAGGAAATATGAGGAATAATACTAACAATGACAATGCTAATGATGATGATGCTGTCGATGATGATGATGATGATGATGATGATGATGATGATGATGATGATGATGATGATGATGATGATGATGATGATTATGATGATGATGATGAAGCTGATGATGATGATGATGGTGCTGGTGATGGCGATGATGATGCTGATGGTGATGATGCTGATGCTGCTCCTAATGATGATGCTGCTGGTGATGATGACGATGATACTGATGATGATGATGATGACGATGATGAGGATGATGATGATGGTGCTGGTGATGGCGATGCTGATGCTGATGGTGATGATGATGCTGATGATGCTGATGCTGATGCTGCTTCTAATGATGATGCTGATGATGATGACGATGATGATGATGATGACGATGATGATGATGATGATGATGATGATGATGATGATGATGATGATGATGATGGTGCTGCTGCTGATGATGACTATGATGCTGCTGCTGATGATGATGCAGATGATGATGACGAATCTGATGATGATGACGATGATGACGATGATGATGATGATGGTGATGGTGCTGATGATGATGGTGATGATGATGATGATGATGATGATGATGATGATGATGCTCATGATGATACTGATGATGATGATGATGATGATGATGATGATGGTGGTGATGATGATGATGATAATAATGGGAAGGAGCCCCGCGCGCGCAAAGAGAACATGCACACACCCACACACGCGCGCGCGCACTTTTAGCAGTGACAATGCTAATGATAATGCTGATGATGCTGATGATGATGATGATGCTGATGATGCTGATGATGGCGATGATGTTGCTGATGGTGATGATGCTGGTGATGATGATGCTGATGCTGCTGCTAATGATGACGATGCTGATGATCATGATGACAATGATGACGACGATGACAATGATGATGTTGGCACTGCTGCTGATGATGCTGATTCTGAAAGTGCGCCAATGGATCTCCGTGAATACACTAAAGGGGGGGGCTCCAGAACCCCCCCCCCCTCCCCCCCTCCCCCCCTTGGCGTTGGAAAGGGGGGGGGAGGTGTTCGGACCCCCCCCCGTGTAGGGAGTACGGAGCTGGGAGTAGGGAGTGGTGAGTAGTGAGTAGTGAGTTAGTGCGTCGTGAGTAGTGAGGGAGTAGGGAGTAGGGAGCAGGGAGTAGTGAGTAGTGAATAGTGAGTATTTTGTACTGATAAGTGAGTAGTGAGTGGCGAGTAGTGAGAAGTGAGTAGTGAGTAGCGGTTAGCGAGTAGTGAGTACTGAGTAGGGAGTAGGGAGTAATGAGTAGTGGGTAGTGAGTGAGTGCGTAGTGGGTAGTGGGTGGCGAGTAGTGATTAGTGAGTGGTGGGTAGTGCGTAGTGCGTAGTGAGTAGTGAGTAGTGAGTAGTGAGTAGTCAGTAGTGAGTGGGGAGTAGTGAGTAGTGAGTAATGAGTAGCGAGTAGTGAGTAGTGAGTAGTTAGTATTGAGTAGTACGTAGTGCGTAGTGAGTAGTGAGTAGTGATGAATAGAGAGTAGTGGGTAGTGGCAGTGGGTAGTGAGCAGTGAGTAGCGAGTAGGGAGTAGCGAGTAGTGAGTAGTGAGGAGCGAGTGGGGCGTAGTGCGTAGTGAGTAGTGAGTAGAGAGTAGTCAGTAGTGAGTAGTGGGTAGTGATGAGTGAGTAACGAGTAGGGAGTAGCGAGTAGTGAGTAGGGAGTAGGGAGTAGGGAGTAGGGAGTAGTGAGCAGTGAGTAGTAAGAAGTGGGTAGTGAATAGTGGGTAGTGAGTAGCGATTGGTGAGTCGTGGGTAGTGGGTAGTGAGTAGTGACTAGTGACAAGTGGCTAGCGAGTTGTGATTAGTGACTAGAGACTGTAGTGACTAGTGAGTAGGGAGTAGTAAGTAGTGAGTATTGAATAGTAGCGGGGAGTGAGTAGTGAGTACTGAGTAGCGAGTATGGGAGTAGCGAGTAGTGACTACTGTGTACTGTGTAGTCAATATTGTGTAGGGAGTAGTGAGTAGCGAGTAGCGGGTAGTGGGTAGTGAGTAGTGATTTGTGGGCAATGAGTAGTTAGCAGTGAGTAGTGAGCAGTGGATATTGGGTAGTGGGTAATGAGTAGTGATTAGTGAGTAGTGAGGAGGGAGTAGTGAGTAGCGCTTAGTGAGTAGTGAGTATTGAGTAGTGGGTAGTGAGGAGTGAGTAGTGAATAGTGAGTAGGGAGGAGGGAGTAGTGAGTAGGGAGTAGTGAGTAGCGAGTAGTGGGTGGTGGGTAGTGAGTAGTGGATAGAGAGGAGTGAGTCGTGAGTCGTGAGTGGGGGTAGTGAGAAGTGAGTAGCGAATAGCGAGTAGTCAGTAGTGGGTAGTGAGTAATGAGTAGCGAGTGCTTTTTGGGCCTGGGGTTAGTGGTTAGGGTTAGGATTAGGGGTTTGGGTTAGGGTGAGGACTAGGGGTAGGGGTGGAGGGGGTCGGGTTCCGGGGAGTCAGGGGGCGGCGTGGCGAAAGGGGGGGAGAGGGGGGGGGGGGGGGGGTCCCGACGACGTGTCGGGGAAGGGAGGGAGGGGGGGGGGTCCCCGACGACGGATCGGGAAAGGGGGGGAGGGGGGGGGGGTGTCCCCGACGACGGATCGGGGAAGCTGTGATGGAGTTCCACTTTTCAGGGTTTAGGTTTAGCATGCGTATCTCTCCCCAGAGAGCAGGAGCCAGAATGACTGACATTCATGATCTGTTGCCGGGTTGGCTCAAAGCTAAAAGGCATCCGCTCATCCTGCTGCTGCCACAGTTGGTAGCGGAGCGGGGCTGGCCATGGCCGCGGTGGGCGGCGCGGCGCGCGGCTAGGTTACACTGGCAGCGGTGCGCGCGCAGCTCCATCGGCCGGGCCGGTCTCGCTCGTCGAGACGTGCAGTGTGGGATCCACGGCAGGTGCCGGCATGCCGGCAGACGAGACGT